GTTAGTTTATGCTCCCTTTCTTTCCTCATAGCTAACAACTCATTTTTAGCTATCCGACCCCCTAGTGGATGGCTCGACGGCACCAACATGACTTGGTTTGATGTCCCTGGAGAGTGTAATAGAATGTGGACTGGGGGAGCGGCTGATACAAGCTGTGTGGGATGCGCAGCTGCATGCACTGATATTGATCAAATGGCAGGATGTGTTCTAGGTGGCGGAACCGCAGTTAATTCTGGCCTATGGTGGAATGTAAGTAGCCATTATTTGGACTTCTGAATGATTGACACTGACTACGCGATAGCCACACCCCGAAGACTGGGATTACAATTTTCCACCGGGCTGGAAGTCTACCGACATGGAATCTGCTTCATCTCGAGTATTTTCTCGCATTCCAGGCACTGACCATCCTTCAATGGATGGCCAGCGCTATCTGCAGACCGGCTTTGATGTTGTATCACAAGGATTGTCAAGTGCGGGCTGGACGAGTGTCACTGCAAATGAGGTGCCTTCTCAAAAGAATAGGACATACGCACATACCCCGTATATGTACAGTAACGGCGAACGAGGTGGACCCATGGCTACTTATCTAGTTTCTGCGATGGCAAGACCAAACTTCGACCTGTGGTTGAATACGAGTGTGGAGAGGATTGTCCGTAGTGGCGGGCACGCCACTGGCCTCGAGGTTATCCCTACTCAAAATGGGGGTTATCAGGGTACGATCCAGTTGACCCCGACTACAGGGAGAGTCATCGTATCTGCTGGCGCCTTTGGGACCTCAAAGTTACTCTTCAGAAGTATGTTATCCTGTTCACGAATATTGAGTAACGCCTAACGCGAATCAAGGTGGCATTGGCCCACAAGACCAGCTGGAAGTCGTCAAGTCGAGTATTGATGGCCCTACAATGATCAATGAAACGGATTGGATTATTCTCCCCGTTGGGTATAATCTCGGTGACCATCTCAATGTGAGTCGAGTATTCCGTACTGACCTTCACACGACTCTAACAGAATTAGACTGATACAGTTATTGCACATCCAAACATATCGGCATCATATTATGATTGGCAGGGATCCTGGACTTCACCTATCGAAGCGGATAAGACTAGTTACCTAAGTACGTATCTCTTTACCAGAAGAGTATTGTCACTAACACATACAGGCAATCGTATTGGGCCTCTCGCACAAGCTGCTGCAGACATTGGACCGATGATGTGGGAGGAAATTACAGGGCCGGACGGTATTGTGAGGCAGATGCAATGGACGTCTAGAGTTGAAACTTCTAACGGCGTAACTGCACCAGCTGATAATGGTATGCTCTCTTCCCCTCCACTCCTTTTGACCACCAACTAAAGTTAGCATAGATGTAATGACACTGAGTCTTTACCTTGGTCGAGGCGCTATCTCTCGAGGACGACTCACTATTCAAAAGGGGTTAAACATGGTAGTCTCGACCATTCCGTACGGAGACGAGAACGATCTTGCTGTTGTTGCCACGGCGCTCGATAACATGGCAAATGCCCTGACGAAGGTGCCGGGCCTAACATATCTCTTCGGGCCTAGAGCCAGCACCAGTTCAGCTCAATCATCCCTCAATATGACTGGAGCCGAGTTCCTCGCCAGCGTATGTCGTTTCAGACCAGTTTAAATCCAGTTTCTAACAATTCCTTAGGTCCCTCTCACATACGCGAACATCGGTTCTCGACGGTCAAACCACTGGCTTGGAACCGCCAAACTCGGAACTGACAGTGGACTCGAGGGCGGAACATCTGTCGTTGATACAGATACCAAGGTCTATGGCACAGATAATATCTTCGTCGTAGATGCGAGTCTTTTCCCTGGATTGCCATCTACCAACCCCTCAGCCCTTATCGTTACGATGGCAGAGCATGCTTCGGAGAAGATCATTGCTCTTCCCCTAAGTACAGCCTAGCAATGTATGTATGTATTGGTAGCTCATTGCAAATATTTCTTTGCTGTTTTGCTAACTATTCGATAGAATGGCCATGGTTCTCAAAAGATAGGCCCCGTTGGAGTGTTTAACTTATGTTTGGGAGAAAGGGTCACCGCAGTGCATAGCTCTCGCATTCACATAACATCTTAGCAGATCCATAGTTCTTATAAAATAAAATACAATGATTTCATCAAATAAATCCTCTGAAAGCACTACCATGGCTGAGATACCAAAAATGGGGAGTTTTTCCGTGCGCACGAAAGGAATATCGAAGCACGAGAAGTACAATTATGATAACGAGGTTAGGGAAATGGGCACTATGCCCCAACGATGGCCACACTAACTATGGTCCAAAACAGTGATGATAAACTCAGCTGATACGCTGTATTGTTCTAAACAGCCACCGTCGGCGTTTAGTTTTCCTCCGATATGTGTGATTGCTGAGATGGAGCAGATCGCCAACTTGCATGATATCGACGTCGTGGTGGCCAAAATTGTCTAAACAGTGCCTTGGTCATCTCAGGCTTTTACAAAAGATGTACGGATTGCCTTGTCGCAGGGGTATTTCGGGGCCTGCTCAACCATGAGCTCTCCATAATTTATTTCTCATAATCTCTATGAATTAGGGTGCATATCTAGCATAACCATGACGCATGAATTGGAGTTACTATTGCCGTAACAACTCCTGACCTGATACGCACCCCAGACCATTTTCTCCACGATCTTAATACCCCGTACTTCCTTCTACCGAATCAATCCCGCAAAAAGAGCGCCTTTCGGCGTAATAAATTGGCATAAACTACGCTACTTACCTGCTGCCTGCGTTCCCAGCAGCCGCGTGTTTAATCACACCAGGCTCTCGGTGAATTCCCTCTTCTAGATTCTAAGAAAGGCAATCAACAACGCACATCCGCTCTCGGCGAATCCCCTCTTCTGTATTCCAATAAAGGCAAGCAACATCGCAAATCCGCTTAAACATACCCTCTATCGGTCCTGCATCGGCCCATGGATGCCCTACGCCGATCGTTAATTAGCCTTTTGCTGTGCATTCTTAATTTGATGGCGGCGTTTCGGATAGTGGACTCGCTTTGCTAGCCTACCCCGCATACGTATGAGATAGATCATCCGTGGAAGAGACACAAGCTTCAGGGCAGTGTGCACTATTATTGCATGAAATGATGCGGGCTCTCGTCGGCGACGCAAAATCCTGGGATATGCTCTAGCCGAGAGATCGTCGCGAGCCAACATCCGATGACGGCACCCCATGCTGGATTCCCGCGTCGTTTTATATTGGCTGTCGATCGTGCTGTTCGGCGTCGTGCTATATTTTTCTTGATCGGCATTCGATTGACATTTGTCGGACCCTCTATTAAGGGCTGAAAGTTGGGGTTGTGCCGACATACTAGACCGCATTAGGCCTTGCCTCATATTGGAACTCTTGCAACTCTTTTGTATCAGCAGCGGTCTATCTAGTAGCTGCGAATTTATGAGAGAAAGAAACGGACGACGCCGATCAAATATGTTTCAAGATCGTTGAGATAATTATAAAGAGAGAAACAATCCCCCATATGTCAACTCAGCCCATAGTCATAGGATTTTTACTATAGCCTACCATTCTCACCTTACACACCTTGTCCAAATTCGCAAGTTCATTCACTGAAAATCAGCAAATATGGTGGCACTCATCGCGTTAACCGCCCTCAGCCTAGCTACATCTGTCTACGGACATGGCTACCTCATCGTTCCCCAAAGTCGCACTGGCCTTGGGGTCGAGGTGCGTACTATTCCACTCAGCATGAGTTACTGGACATGCCAAAAGTGAATTGTTAGCTAATAGTCCTTACTAGGCCAACTTAGATTCATGCCCGGAGTGTACCATTCTTGAGCCTGTATCAGCGTGGCCTGACCTCACCGCTGCCCCAGTCGGAAGGAGTGGCCCCTGTGGCTATAATGCCCGCGTCAGCATTGACTACAACCAGCCGTCAGACAACTGGGGCAAGGCCCCCGTCGAGACCTATGCAGCCGGCGACATTGTCGATGTGCAGTGGTGTGTAGACGCCAATGGGGACCATGGTGGCATGTTCAGTTACCGAATCTGCCAAGACCAGACCATTGTCGACAAGTTCCTGGATGCAAGCTACCTACCTACCGACGCAGAGAAGCAGGAAGCTGAGACTTGCTTCCAGGCCGGTACTTTGGACTGCACCGATGTCTCTGGGCAGGACTGCGGGTACAATCCCGATTGTGCCTCTGGGGAGGCCTGCTACCGCAACGACTGGTTTACATGCAACGGCTTCAGTGCCGGCGACCAGACAAAGTGCAAGGGTGTTGACAATGCAGCACTCAACTCCTGCTATACATCGATTGCAGGTGGCTACACCGTATCCAAGAAGATCAAGATCCCCGACTATAGCTCTGAGCACACCCTCCTTTCTCTACGCTGGAACTCTTTCCAGACAGGGCAGGTATACCTCACTTGTTCTGACATTGCCATCTCAGGCAGCCCGGGAGGCAATGAAACGAGCAACTCCACTACCCAAGCATAATATGGAAGCCGAGGGGGGATAAAGGGTATCTTGGATATGAGTAGACGGCTTCCGACCATAAAGAAGCCTCGCACAAAGGACGCCATGGCGCGTTTACGGTTACTATATCTATGTAGATGCTAGAAATTATTGAATACTGGCCCTTCAGAGGCTCTAAATTTATTGACGCTACTGAGTTATCCCTGATGATACCCTATGTGACTGCCTCAGCACACAATAACCCTTGGCCATGCCACAGATGTCTCCATTGCTATGTTTGAGAATAGACTACTATCACGATACGGTAGATGAAAGCTCTATCCCTTGCTCGCAATCACTACATATACTTAGGACTTATGTGGCACTCTTGCAGCTCGAGTCTAAGCTTGAGTATTTTGGAATTTTTATAAGAGTGCACGTAGGACTCGGGTTCAACTCCTAGATGAACACATTGCACGCAGCCGCCCCCTCACCAACGTTCAGAAAGCGTTCTAAAAACATATATAAAAAAAGCCAAAAAATAATGGTCTGATCCAGGATTGAACTGGAGATCTCCGCTGATTTCTCATCCGCAAACCCGCAAGTATCCAAGCGGTTTGAGTGCCGAAGGCCCAAAATCGGAAGTTGAGAAGCGATGTCTTACCACTAGACCATCAGACCTTTGGAATTAAAGGGCAGCCGCTTGAACTGATACATATAGTTCGTCCGGCCGCTTATGAAAGTGGCTGGAGCCTTAGGGACCAGCCCCCCCCCCTTCAGGCAAGCGGGAAGCCAGCTCAGTGGCTACACGCATGCCTCGAGGGGAAGCTGGTTCCTGAGCGTCTGGTATAAGAGCAAATTCTAGCAAGTTCGCCATTTATATATTTTTTGCCTAAGTATTCTAGCCTATACCGTGCTCACAATACTACCAGAGGCTCGATAGTTTCTTGCAAGGCTACTGAGATGAGCCGCTGACCTAGGTCTTACCCGACCAAATAGTTTGAAGCACCTCAACATATATTCGAACTATACATTCTCTTCAACCACATAACCTTAAGGACAGAAGCTGCCCTTGTTCTCCGTTTGTACCCAGATCTACGCGAGAAAGTCAGCCATCCAATGTCTCGATTCATAAGGGGCAGGGGTGTTATGATCACTTACTCTAGCTTCCCCATTGGCCGATGGGCTTGTGAATGCGCCAGAGTCGCCAACAGTTGCCGCAGTACAGTCTAGGAGATCAACAATTGAGTCTCCAGAAGAAAACGTCGACCCTGTGACGCTGAAGCTGTCGCTGGTGCCCGCTGCACCGACATTTGACACCACCACCACGGCAGGCCCACGCTGCAGGGCCATATATTCGTTCGAAGTGCCAAGGACTGCCACATTGGAGGAGAAATAGGTTGCCTTGTCAGTAACATTCGACGCGATGTTTCTGATCTCGTGTAGTTGTGTAATATACTTGTACAGCGTTGTGTCGGTGTTGTAACCGCTGGTCCAGAGCGTTTCGCGGTTGTTTGGGTCAGCTGCACCGGTGAATCGCTGCTCAAAGCCGTAGTAGACCATAGGAATCCCAGAAGTGAACATCAGGAATGTCACCGCGTTTTTGTCTTTGACCTCATCGTCGCCGGACTGGCTCGCAATGCGAGGTTGGTCGTGGTTATCGAGGAAGTTCGTCAGGACGTTAACATCGGAGAATGATGTAGCTTCAGTGCTAATCATTGCTGCGAGGCCATCGAAGCTCCCACCCATAAAAGATCTGATGAGATCGTACCAGAGTGGGTAATTGATCAAGCTGTTGAGTGGGCCTTGATATCCCGAGACATATGCTGGGTCCCCATCCAAGGCCTCTCCTGTCACAAAGACACCGACTGCCTCCTGGAACTGAGTGAGGTATTCTTTTGGGACATGCTTGGCCGTATCAAGACGGATGCCGTCAATGCTATAGTTGCTAACAAGGTCAACGACACTATCCACTAGAGCTCCGAAGACGGATGCGTCTTCAGAATTGACATCAGGTAGAGAAGGGGCAGGCGAAGTCACAACCCAGCAATTCTCGATGGACGTTTGGCTCGTATAGTCAATTGCGCAAGGTGAATGGAAGGCTGACGCGGCGTCGGACGACGACGGGTATGCACTGTAGTCTACGGAGCCTGAATCCTGGATTGATCCGAAGTGATTGATTACAACGTCGACCATCAGTGACATTCCACGCCCATGGAGAGCATCTGAAAGGCTCTTAAGATCATCTGTAGTGCCAAAGTGGTCGTTGAGCGTGTAAGGGTTATCAGCCCAATCTATCTTCAATGTTAGGATACCCTCATAGATAGAGAGTGCGGGTTAGAAGTAAAACGCACACCCATGATACGCATAGCCGGCAGGAGTACTCCTGTCGATGTTATGAACGCTAATACAGTGTCAGTCAACTGTTATTTGGCTGGATACAAGAGACGTTACACTGGAGAGATCCAAACTGCCTCAAACCCCATTCCCTGGATGTAATCAAGCTTATTCTCCAGCCCTTTCCATGTACCACCGCAGTAGTCAGTGATCCCACAACTTGGGGAAGAGCCATCAGTTGTTGCAAATCGGTCAGTCAAGACCTGGTAAATGGACAGTTCACGCCATTCCGCCGCGGTCTTTGCGGCTGCGATAGGGAGCAAGGAGCCAGCCGTGAGGAGCAAGCTCGCCGCTTGGGTTGCCTGGAACAAATTTGAATGCATGTCGATAGTTATTTGATCTCAAGCACAGCGTACAGAATGAAGAGACACGGAAAGTGGTCGCCATCGGTCTCATTTATAGATATCCAAACCTCCCCCAGCGACATGGAAAGTCAACCACGATCTACATAGGTTCAAGGTGAGAAATGCTCATGATGTGTAAGGGGCTGCGGAGATTTATGCGGGGTAGCCGCGGATCCATTGGATGTGCGGGGAAATAATCTGTAACATGGTTGTCCAACTCGAGCTCGGCCATTCTCTCACGGCATTAAATTTGATCGGCATAGTCGTCATCGGGCCGTCCTTTGACCCTTACCACATTCACAATCTAGAGACTATACGAGAAACAAATAAAACAGATAGTGCAGTATCTACCTGTTTTATATTTCATCGTTTATTAAAAAGCTTGTGTAGAATGACGTACATATAAATAGTTTTCATTGAGTAGTGTGTGTCCAGAATGGAGGCTGTGTAATTATATATCCAGGCACAAGACAAGCCCTCAGCATGTGAAATCAACGCAATTCACCACCCAACCTTCCTCAAAACGCCCGCAAAACAGCTCTGATATCCAATCCCCTACCAAGCAGTATGCCCTCCATCAATCCTCAAATCCCCTCCAGTCATCCACCCACTGCACCCCGCC